GTGTGCCACCACCAGCCAACTACTCTGGACATCAGAAATACTGACCACTTATTAGGCTACACAAGCTACTTAACAAATTCTAAACAGAGAACTACAAGGTGGGTGTGGTGGCATGCACCCTATCCCAGCTGTGGTGGTACAGAGGAGGTGGATCACTTGAGCCCAGGAGTTCAATACAGGCCTGGTAACATAGCAATACTCTGTCTTAGTCCCCAAAGCCAGGGGTGGTTCTTTAAACCAGTAGTCCGAGCTGTTCTGAAGGCTAAGATTAGGAGTTCAAGTCACCCTGGACAAATTATCAAGACTGTCTCAAAAAGTTTTTTTTCCCTAGAAAAAAAGAATGAAAAAAAAAAAATGTAGACAATATTGCTGAGTTCAATCTCCAGGACTTACATTTTGGAAAAAGAGGACAGAATTGGGCATACTGGTGTCCACCTTTAATCCCAGCACTGGGGAGGCAGAGGCAAGTGGATCTCTGTGAATTCAATGGAAGCCTGGTCTACGTAGGGAGTTCTAGGACAGCCAGAGCCAGAGAGACATAGTGAGACCCTCCTATCTCGGGGAAAATAAAGAGAGCAGACTCTCACCCCCACACATATGCTCTCACACATGCACACATTCATGTACACATACACACACAATATAAAAATAAATGTTTAAAGTTTGTTTTTAGCCAGGCGGTGGTGGTGCACGCCTTTAATTCCAGCACTTGGGAGGCAGAGCCAGGTGGATCTCTGTGAGTTCGAGGCCAGCCTGGTCTACAAAGCGAGATCCAGGACAGGAACCAAAACTCCACAGAGAAATCCTGTCTCAAAAAAACAAAACAAAAAAACCAATAATAATAATAATAATAATTTTTTTTAAATAAGTGAAAGTGAGTCCTAAAAACTGCAGAACAACAAAGACTTCTCACTTTTTTTGCTTAACAACATGTTGAAATTAGAAACTTATAACAAAACGAGAAAGCAGTTAGATCTTAGCTTAAAATTTAAGAAGACTCCTGAAAGAATAAATAAAAGCATTAATAAAAATTTAAAAAGCCTCTCAAACAATATGGATTACAGGGGTAATACAAATGAAGGTTGAAGGCAGGGCGGTGGTGGCGCATGTCTTTAGTCCCAGAACTCGCAAGGCAGAGGCAGGTGGATCTCTGTGAGTTGGAGGTTAGCCTGGCATACAGAGCGAGTTCCAGGACGGCCAGGAGGTATACAGACAAACCTTGTCTTGAAAAAGCAATAAATAGTAGATTCACTTCTGGTCAGATCAGAGGACAACTTCAGCCGTCTACTCCACTCTGTACTCGTGACCGTATTTCCTCAATTTATGTCTTTTGTTTTTGTTTTTTTCAAGACAGAGTTTCTCTTTGTAGTTTTGGTGCCTGTCCTGGATCTCACTTAAAGACGTGCACCACCATCAATTTATATCTTAATAAATTGCTACCCATTTAAAAAAAAAAGGAAAAGCAATAAATAAACAAATAAATAAAAAGATGGTTGCAGTTTCTAGGAAATTATGTAGTGAAAACACTACAATTCAGAGCTGTGCAGAAAAGCTCAAACAGTGATCAGAAGAAAATTCATTGTTCCTTAATATTTTTATGGATGAGAAAAAAATGAAAGCTACTAATTACTTTAAAAAGGTAGGAAAACAACTTTAATTTGGCTAACTGAAGAAGAAAAATTTATAAGATGAAAGAGAAATAATAGAAAACAAAGCTAGAAGAAGTAAAATAATTAAAGAAAAATTAGGTGTTCTGCTGGGGGGGGAGGGGCAGGAGGTGAGGCTAGAGAGATGGCTCAGTGACTAAGGGCACTGGCTTCTCTTGCAGAGGTCCTGAGTTTGATTCCCAGCACACACGGAGCCTCATAACCATCTGTAACTCTAGTCCCTGGGGATCTGACGTGCTCTTTTGACCCCTAGTGGGGGCATCAGACATGGAGGAGAGCCTAGACATACATGCAGGCAAAAAAACCCACCTATATATTTAAAATAATAAAATAAATAAATCTAAATAATTTTTTAAAAGTCAGTTGACTAAACTTCTAGCCACTAATCAAGGAAAAAAGGACAAAGCACAAATATAAAAAATAGGGGGAACAACAGAAATAGAAAAAGTTTGGGGGGCTGGAGAGATGGCTCAGTGGTTAAGAGCACTGGCTACTCTTCCAGAGGACCAGGGTTCAATTCCTGGCACCCACATGGCAACTCATACCTGTCTATAACTCCAGTTCCAGGGGATCCAACACCCTCACACAAACATACATGCAGACAAAACACCAATGCTTGTAAAATGAAAATAAATTTAAAAAAAAGAAAAAGTTTGAAATGTTAAAAACTGTTTTATAAAATTCTATACATTAAATAAAATATGGAGAAAATAAAAAATTTGTAGCAAATAAATGTGACTTACAAAAGTAATCAGAGACAGCTTGGATACTGATATTTTTAATTAGTTAATTAAAAATAATTTATTTACTTTCATTTTTATGTTTATTGGTATTTTGCCTGCATATATGTCTGTGTTACGGTGTCAGAGCTCATGGAACTCAAGTTACAAACAATTGTAAGCTGCCATGTGGGTGTTGGGAATTGAACCTGGGTCCTCTGGAAGAAGAGGCAGTGCTCTTAACTGCTGAGCCATCTCTGCAGCCCTTAACACATATTCTTGAATAAAGTACTTATGAAAATAGGACAACAATGCTCCTTAACAACACTAGAACAACTGTTCCTAACATAATAATAATCATAAAAACATGCATATGTGCATCATACTTAATAGAGAAGCACTGGACACATTTTTCCTAAAATGAGGAATAAAAAGAGGGTAACCATTGATGTTTGCTACTATCCTATCTAAATTAGTCAACATAATCTGGCAAAAAAAAAAATAGAGGCAAATCTGTTACTATGTGCAGACCATATAACTAACATAGAAACACCAAGAAAATCACTTAAAAAATATTACAAGTATGGAATTCAATAAGGCAGAAAGATTAAAAAGTTACATATAGAAGTTAAAAGCCTTCATGTTTATAAATAAGAACTAGTTTATTAAATATTTAAAAAATACCATTAAATGTTAAACCCATTTAATAGCAACAAAACACACAAAATACTCAGGAATACCAAGATTAAGTAGGCTGTATGTGAGGAAAGCCTTACAACTTTTCTGAAGAAACAATGTAGAAGTATATAGTACGTTTTTGGATTTAAGGTTAGACTCAACACCTTACAGAAGCCAATTTTATTTTTTAAAATAATTCATTCTTTTTAACTTTTATTATATATATATGTATATATATATATATTTTTTTTTTAAAGATTTATTTTATTTATTATATGTAGTGTTCTGTCTGCATGTTTGCCTGCATGCCAAAAGAGGATATCAGCTCTCACTAGAGATAGCTGTGAGCCACCATGTTGTTGCTGGGATTGAACTCAGAACCTCTGGAAAAGCAGTCAATGTTCTTAACCTCTGAGTCATCATCTCTCCAGCCCCCAAAATACATTTTATCTATGCATGAAATTCTCAAACATAAAATAAAGAAAAAGAAAAAAATACATAAACCAACGGTTTGTTAAGGTGTATGGCTAGCAAAATCAAGGCCCTGTGCTCCATGCTCAGTACCTAAAAATAACAATAAATGTAAAAGTAAAACAGAATGAATCATAAGTGGTCCTCATATTAGCGAAGGACTGTTTACTTTGTTTCAGCCAGGCACAGTAAGCAGTTCATGACTATAATCCTACAGCTAGGAGGCT